AAATTTAAAATACGGACAGAAGCCTCAAAATCAAAACTAACCGAATTTCTTCCAAACGATTTACATAATTATGATAAAACCTGGTATGAACTTGAACTCCCATCCGAAGATGTAAAAACAAATTATGACTTCATCATGACGTCATCAGGTATCAAATTACAAGCAATTTAAGGGCCAAATTTGTGAAAATAGTTTGAGCTATATCTTTAGAACTAAACAAAGTATCGTGTTCGTTTTTGCGTGAGGTTGTAAATGATGCCTTGGGCAACAGTTCTTACTCCTGGGCACAAAACCACTTGACCTTCACTGCTGATATTTCCAGAAGTGCAATAAAAATTGAATATACATGTAACTTGAAAGCGGAAGTTCTTTACTATAAGCAAATAAATTGTAAAGTGTTTAGAATTGAATAAAGGACACTCAAACAGCATGTTGACGTCATCATTTGAAAGTGCGCCCTCTAGTGGTACAACAAATATGATTTCCTTTTTAATTCAAAAACTATACGTCCAAATTTGACCAAATCGCCCATTGTTATTTTCTATCAACTGTACATACAACTTTGCAATGTTTCAAAATTATGACGTCATCAGACTGGAAGTTACTATAGGGAGAATTTGAAAACGATCCTTTTTAAAAATTCTATCATTTGATCCCTGTCTTATGACTTTATTCGTAGCTCAAATATTGATATCCGTTACAATGCTGACCTTTGGATCTTTAATACTCTGACATCATCAGACTGGAAAAAAAACTTGTACGCGTACATAAAATGTATACAGAAATTTGACACATTTTTGTTTTAAACAAAATCATTGGATGTACTGGAAAGGTTAAATTTTTGTGATCTTTGTTCCGACATAAACTTATTTATTTCAAAACTTAACTGGGCTGTGTCTAATCAAATAGTTGTCGGCCCGACCATTCTGCATTTGTAACTCAACAAAACGCCTTGCCCTCTATTTCTTATACTATTTCCTTAAAATATAAGTAGTATGTGACATATCAAAGGTTATTCTCCATTAGGCAAAAAAAACCAGTCGTACGTCGATTTTGACCATGCACGTCAATCTCTTTTTTCTTAGAAATTTTCCAAGGTAGCTACAACAACAGCACCCTTTCTTGCCGCACCGCCTCAAATTTTCGTACCAAGGAGCACCAAGGCAAATGATGTAACACCATATGAGAACACAAACAAGCAAAACAGTACCCACTTTGTCTGTACAATCCAAGCTTGGGAAAAAAAATAGCAAATAATTTTAAAAAAAATCCGCAGAACTTTGGTCTGACCAGAGACCGACAATTTTTGTAGGCCTACGGCTTGCACCCAATTCTGTTTCTCTTTTTGCATAAATGCCCCATATATTATTTCGGTATGCAACTATTAGACCAAAGTGTGAGTTTTCACAGCCACAACAGAAATGTACATGTAGAGCATTATAATTAAAACCCAAATGTTGGAGGGTGAGGGCACCGGTAGTGTTCTCTCAAAATGAAGGTCTGAAAAAAGCAAAGTGGAAGACAATTGAAATGTTTTGGGATCGCCTGTGTTTGATAACTCACCATGGCAAGGAGGTTGACTGTTTCTCAGCCCTCACAGTGTGCTCCTTCAACTTGTTTGACAGTGTGATCTGGAGTGACTTGAGATGAGCGTAAGGGATGCCGACTGACGCAATGATCTGATTGGCCTTCTCATCGGTAAGGTCTGCACTCAGTAGGCAATGATGGAGTCCTCTGGTGCTGGCGCCCTGAAGAAGTAGGGTAGGAACCAGTGAAGCTGAAGTCCTACAGGAATGAACAAGGAAGGAAAGCTCGTAGTCAAATTTTGCACAATATGTAATGAAGACAATTTGACCCTCAAACATTTCATTGTGAGTTTATCACACAATCGTTCGGTATAGGGATTTTGAGCCGTCGGTAAAGAAAATGGCATATTTCTATTTAAAAAGTGCCCTCTTGTGTCCTACTTGAAGTGTTCCCTCTACATCTCCTTTCGAATCAGTGTTTGACAATGCCTGCCACTTGCAGACAATACTTTATCAGGTCAATACAGCAATCAACAGCCACACAGTAGTCACAGCTGTTTGACAATACCAGCCACTTGCAGACAATACTTTATCAGGTCAATACAACAATCAACAGCCACACAGTAGCCACAGCTGTTTGACAATACCAGCCACTTGCAGACAATACTTTATCAGGTCAATACAACAATCAACAACCACACAGCGAAAAATTCCCCATTGGTAGTGTAACACGGATGGAACAGTGCCGTGGGCAGACAAGCGCGGCGCTCATTGGTCGGCGCACTCGGCTGGGCTTGTGACGTCACAGAAACCACATGTCAGGAAGTAGACACCAACTCGTTCACACACGCACGTACGGCCATTGCGGGCACGTACGGGTGGTGCATTCCGGAGCCGCACTGTCAAGCGTGCTGACCTTGTGACCTTTGCTTTAGCTGGAAAGTGTACATGCATGTGTTTGCGCGGTATGGTACTATGTACATGTACGCGTTAATTTTCTGTCGCTGTGTGCAGTGTTTTATCGTCATCGTAGGCTCGGCATCTACAAGAATGCAAGGACACATGCCTTTCACGTTTACTTTGTACATGTCCCCCCAAAAAGTATCGTTTTATATGTATAATCCGTAACCTATAATCAAACCACAATTAGCCCAAATGTGAAAGGGAAAATGACATCGAGACTCCCGTTAAAAGCTCCTCAATTTTCCTTGGTGCATAGAAAAGTGTGGCCTATGTTCGTTTTTATTATACATGTACACATATAAAACCTTTATATCTTGTGAGCTGCATTGAAAAAAATCTACTTCTGCATCCAAGCAGACTTTATATAATATCATTTATTTTTATAAAAGTTGTAACAACTTGGTTGGTTTTGGTTATTTTATACAAATTGGAAAACATATTGGTCCCTATAAACTTGTTTATATTTTTCATGTTATTATTTAATAGTGATTTCCTTGTCAATTCCCAGGGCTTCACTTTTACCACGTGCATTGTTGTAACTAAATTTGAGTTTATTTCAATAAACCTTTCAGCCCGTTCTTCGTATGTGTATCTGCCATTGTTCTTGTGGTTTTTACCGTTGACCTGAATAATTAAGACTGAAATTTAACCAACAATAAATGAGGAAAGCTAAAACGCCATCTTCCGAATCTCTACAAGGTTGATGCAATGACTTGGAGTGTATTTTAATTAGTTAGATGTTGTCCTCCAATTCATAGCCTGTCAAGATTGGAAGTACATGTGTGTTTGACAGCAATATGATTTCTTGCCTCAATAAACAGCCCCCTTCCCACCCAGCGGGATTCCCGCAAACAGTGGCAGGTTCAAACCTAATTAAGATAAGGCTCAATAAACTCCCCACCCCATTACATGCAAGAAGTTAAAAAAAAAAATACTCAACCAAAAACGGAAATCCCCCTTCTAAAACTTTTTTGTCTTACTCAAAAACTACCGAGTGTCTCTTGCTCAAGTAACGACTAATCAGTTAAGAAATTCCATAGCAATCCAGCCATACTCTTTGTTTGGCCCAAAATAGTGAAATGTGTACAAATTTATGCAATTTCTGACAAATGATAAAACAGTTGCACATTTGTATACATGAAAGTTGTGGTTCAAACTCACCTTGCATGCGTGCAAAAGTGCTCGTTTTGTTTGGCACAATCAGTCATAAATTGCATAATTTTGTACACATTATCACTGTTTTGGGCCCAAAAAAGAGTATGTCTGGATTGCTAAGGAATTTCTGTACTGATTAGTTGTTTTGGGGGTTTCTTTTGAGCAAGAGGCGCTCAGTAGTTTTTGAGTTAGACTAAAAAGTATTGGAAGGGGCAGTTTCTTTTTTGGTTGAGCATAAAATACAATGCTGGTGAAATTTGGGGGTGCGAAAATCTGATTTAGATTGAATATTCTTGTTACCCTGATTTACAGAAAAAGTTCTTCATGCAAATACATGTACTCAAGTTCCTAAGAAAAATATTTTCCCTTTATGACAAAAAAATTGTAAATACGCTTATTAAAACTCTTGTATGCAACATTTGGTTTGCAACGTGTTATAACGAAATGATAATCAAAATTGTGAACCATGAGCAGTTGTTGAACACTTTGTCCATGTATATAAAGTTATTGATCACAAATCAATGTGTCCAATAGATACAGATTAATATGATTTTTCCCCCTACAAAGAGAGAATCAAATTAAAATAATACGCTTGAAACTATATCAGAAGTAAAGCCGCTTATCCACTTAACCTAAAGTACATGTATTTGTGTTTTATGTTTCATATACATGTACAATGTACATGTATATGACAAAATTTGAACTGTATCACCATTACAAAATATTTAATTTGGACAACTTCTGACATTATGACCAAGCTCTTTACATTTCGAACACTGATATGTCCTGGCTTTTACATGGCTGATTCTCCTCAGCTTTGGGCTAGTGTACAGCCAGTGGAACCATATGATGTCTCTGAGGGCCTGAGCTTCATCATGCTTCCTGGCGAAGTGGCCACGCAGATCTCTGAACAACTTGTTCGCTGCCTCATTTCCTTCTCTGTTTAAGCTGCCAATTGTGCCAGGCCCCTCGGGATCCTCGATGATTTCCTGCACATGCTCAATTATCTTGTGAAGATAATTGGGCCACCCAGCATAAGAAAAGTTGGTCAGCAGAAGACGCCCCATCTCCACTGCACGTTGTTTGAAGGTGCTGACGTCTTCTGCTTCAGGGTGATGAGCCCGATACACTGTTCGAAGATTTCTGAAGATGCCCAAAACTTCCGCCAGGTTGTTTTTTTCTGTCTTCTTCTGGCACGAGTGCAAGAAAGAAATCAACTTTTGCTGACGAAAACAAATCCCGGGCAAAGTTCCCTGGCATCATTACTTTTGGCACTAAGCCGATGGTTTCCGTTAGGTGGTCATTGAGGCGTTTCTCGGCAGCTTCGTACATCGGCCTTACATCATTGGATATGTCCCAGCTTTGGACCCTGGCAACTTCACAGATGATCAACTTCTTGAAAAAGTTTCCCATGTTAATATCTGTATGGGTGGCATCGATTAGTTTGTCCTTTGGGTCCGATTGCAATATTGGATGTGATTTTACCCCCCTTGATACTTCTGTGAGTTCTGCTGCTGAGAGATTGTCCGGGTTTACTTGGATATACTTTGCAGTCGAGGTTGTTTCCTCATATGATCGAGATACGCTGAAGTGAAGGTGCCCAAATCAGTTTTTGCAGATTCCTTTGTTGCATGGCACAGAGTGCACACAAAGCGTGAACCACTGCCCTGGAGACCCCCATTAGCTCGGTCTAGTTTTTCATCAATCATGGAATTGAAGAATTTCAATTTATGCCGTCTCCACACAGGACCTACATTTATAGACATCTCCTTCCCTCGTAGCACCTGTCAGTCATGTTCCATGCCGTCAAGGAGGACAGTGGCCGACGCTCTATTGTTCTCGTCCCCTATAGCCTCAATCAATGGCCGTGTTTTAAAAGTGGAGTCTGGAGCATCTGGCTCGTACACCGTCACCTTCTCCCCGTCCCTGATTACCTCGCACTTTATTACTGCAAAAGCTGCCTGGAAGGCCTTGTCTGGCAAGAGACGATCCCTCGCAGCTTTGGTCACGGAGATGTCCCCCATCCCGTCGGCGCCATCTTTGATAGTAGTAAGAATGCAGAGATCGTCATCAGGATCAAGTCCCGCCTTCTGCAAGCCCATGACGATCTCTGCATCCAACTCTTCCAGGGTCTTGGCAAGAGCGTGTGCATAAGGCCAAGCCACGCCTTTCATGTTGGGGAAGGGGGTCTCCAATCCTGGGTGGTCCTCTCTATTCACATCCTGGAGCTCGAAGGACAGCTCCCCATACTCTACATGAGACTGTCCTGCCTTGACTGGGGTGTGATGAATGATGTCTGTGCCTCCCTCCAGCCGAAACCTTACACTACCGGGCATAAAATCCTTTTGCAACTCGGTGAGAATGTGCGGTGGCTTGAGAATGTTGGTGCCCTTCGCCTTGAACTTTCTATATTGAGCCTCATAATGTGTTTTTGATGTCTTTGTTGTGACTCTCATGGCAAGGCAATCTTCAGCCGTGAGCTACACGCTTTCCTTGCTCCAGGATGCCAAAACCTATTGGAATAAGGAAAATACACATTGAAATTAAAATTCATTTGTAGATGTAGGGTAGCAGTGAAGTAACATATGGTGGGAGCCTGACTGACTAGTCCAAGGCACGCAACATGACAAATAGATTGTACACATTGTATAGCTCTAGAGAAGTACCTAACCTGAACAGTCCTGAATCCTCCAATTTCAATATGATTTTGCACACCCCCTAGGGAGTTAGGGTTTGAAGAGAGGTGGCACCTGAAAATATTTTGGGAAAGGTGTCCAACTTGCACAAGTCAGATGTGTATTATAATATCCTACTGGGTATTATTATAATAATAACCACCCCCTAAAAATTTCCTAAAACACCCCTGGCATTAATCAGAGGAAACAGGATTTCAACAACTTTACATATATTTACGAAACTTTTTTTTTTGGGGGGGGGGGATTTTAATTTTTTTGGCGGGCGGGCGGGAGGATATTTTGACGTTGGTGGCACCACTTACCCCCCTATTAAACTTCTCTAAAAATAGGCCAAATTCATATTACCAAGGTCAATTCATGGAACTTTAAAAAACACACAAAAATTGACAACCTCTTGGGGGAGGGGCGCTCAATTCCCCCCCCCCCCAGTGTGCCACTGCGTTTGAAGAACCCTGTACCAACAACAGCAAATGAATACATTCCAAATCAAATTCATAATTACCTCTTTATACCTGGAGTCACCACATTCGTTTGGATTGTCGCAAAGCAAGAAGTAGAGGAGGTCAAGCTTGTCCTCTTTCTGCCTCTCGCAAAAGTCGCTGATGAAGACAGATGCCTCTTTGGTCCGCTTATGGGCATAATCCCGCCTGACATGATTCAAGCTGGCCCATACACGTTTCTTTCCGTGTGATGCCATGCCGGGGTCCGGAGCTGTATCCCGAAAAAGGGTCCTAGTGGCAGTTGACAGGCTTGGCTGAGAAGATGCTGGGTCTTGTGCGCTGGTTGACGGTTGGGATTCTGGTTGGTCTGGTTGGTCGCTAGATGAGGACTGGTGTGCTGCGAACTGAGGGCGGAGTTGTGCCACATGAGCAGTACAAGCACTGCACACCCAGCAAGCAGCATCATGAGCAGAGAAATTCTGGATCTGCGGAAGTTTGCCCTGATACTGCTTGCCTTGCTCCATTGAACTATGTGCACGTTGCACCTGTTGCCTGTATAATAGGAAGCAATAAAAAAAAAATTAGTCATTTTTAATTAAGTATTCATGAATACCTAAGACAGTTTACGCATTCCTATTGGTCGAGAGCCCGTCACGTGGCCTGTCTTAAACGGATGATAAAGACATGGCTAGCTGGTCTTAAACACATTTCCAGTGTCACAATAAAATGTGGACTCCTAAAAATCCAGTGCCTCTTATCGTTTCATTGGTTGAACGTTCACAATCCTCACATAGGCATGCGCAACACTACCAGGGGGTCAGAATTTTAAAGTTCTAAATTCAAAACGCAACGGGCCAGGTGCGTTCTGCGCGACATCGCGCAGAACATGATACGCGCGCGTCAATCTCCATAAAAGGGTTGTTTACCGTACATCTTACTCGCCAGCTGAACACTCCATTATTTTGCAAGAGGGATTTTTCAAAAAGCATAAAGTGAATTAGTTGAACAAAATCGGGATGTTTTGAACGAATTATATGATTTTTTCTTACCGAAAATGTATTTATGAATGGGAATAAATATGTGCTCCGTCGGTATTTATCACTCTGTTTAAGACCACTTAGAGTCTGGGTGCTGATAATTACCCTCGCCTCCGGCTCGGGTAATTATCAGCACCCAGACTCTAAGTGATCTTAAACAGAGTGATAAAAACCTCCGAAGCACACATTTATTCCCTTATTTATGCCCTGCAGTGTGTCACTCATAAAAATTAATGAAAAAGTTTGGAGAATATCACCCTTGCTCATAACAGCCATATGGTTGCGAGGATGAAGCGTGGCTGGTTGTCAAGTAAAGCTATTCCGATAACGTACTAACGCTGTAACATTGCTAACAACAGTGTTCCATCTTTCAAGTATGCACATAGCCAGGCCTATTTTTTCCAATTCAATGAAAAGTAAAGAACATATCACAACAAGTTTTAGCACATACGTGGATCATTATAAGGGAACTAAAGCCTGAAATTTGCATGAAAGATACGGTCTTCCAAAGGGAACAATTAATTTTCAAGGATTTTGCCATGTGTGTACATGAAGTTTCATTCAAAATAAAGTGTTACGTAACCTTTAGAAATCGCCCTTTCGCAACCACATGACTGGTAAGGGGGAATATATTCAAGTACTCACTATTCATTTTTTTTTTAGTTAAAGGAACTCTGGCCATGCACAACACTTCATTTTTAGGTTCCAACAATATTTTGATGTGATTAATATCTAGATTGTCTCTGCTTGCCAAGCCAAAAAGCAAGCATAAAAAAAAAATTACGTGATATTAAGACTTGAGTGATAATAATAATGTTTATGGAATAAAAAAAAAATTATAGCTAAGCTTAGAAATATATCAGCTGACAATCACCTGCATTTGTTGCACACAGATGGTGGATGGATGCCGCCCTGCTCCTCATCTAAATTGAGGTTGTACACAGCAAGGAGCTGTGTCTTGTACTTTGCTGAGCTTGACTTGTTTTTGGCTGAGGTGATGATCTGGCCGCAGATCCTACACATCATAGCCAAGGCATTGATGTGCCCCTCCATTTCCTACCTGACAGACATATGAGGCAAATGATGTTAAGAGAAAACGTACATCTAGGCCACTGAACATTTTTGCATACATACTGAACAACGACTGGAACAATTCAAATTTTTAGATATCTTCAATTTTATTAGCCACTTATAAAAAATACTGTAGACCTTAAAATTGGTGCATACACCCTAAAAATGTACTTTAGGAAATAAATGTTGCAACCTGACCCCGACACCACTTTTTCTTCATCATCTCAATAAAGGTCGTTCACTACCAAAATGATGATAAGACAAAAATCTGGGACTGAAAAACATTTCAAATTTTGTTCGTAGACTTGGTACACAATCCCGCAAACGGCTTCAGGTTGCAACATCTATTCAGTATTTTGTAATTCAACTGATAGTTTTCTAAAATTGTACTATTTCTGAGCTGTTCAATGGCAATCACATAAAAAGGGCCCATTGCCCAAGCGCATAATGCACCAGCAGCGGTCACTGCTTTATTATTATTAAAGTGAAAATACAACATTTGCAAACATCGAAAAATAAAACTACCAAGTTGTTCCGAAATACCTTACTAGGATTACCTTACAATGTTCTGGTATGTTTGATCCATTTCATCTTTAGTGGAGTCAGGGAACCAGACTACTTGAATATTTTTGTTTTTCTTGGTTTTTCCAGCATTTTCGAACATAAAACTTCAAACATGTCAGTGTAACAATATTTGATCTATTAAACTAACCCCCCAAATAGTTCATTTCTGAAAATTACAGCAAAAGCCAATGATGTACATTCCCTTTAACAGCACTTCATAAAATAAAAAAATCATGATAAGGCATGAATCTTAATCTAGGACTTGAAAAACATTTCAAATTTGTTAGGAAATACTTGGGAAAATTTTATTGACTCTCCTTAGACGTTGAACAATCACAGAATTTAAGTGGTGTCAGGTTGCACATTTTTCTCCCAAAATGGAATACTTAAAAAAAAATACATGTATGACAAAAAAATGTTAATTATTTTTTAAGGTCCAAATCCGGTATAAAATATGATGATTTCCCATTATTGGGAAAAAAAATGTTGCAACCTGAGATGACGCAACTTCCGCGATGTGTACATGGAGAGTCACGAACATTTTTTCAGTATTTTCTTACATTATTGGATATATTTCTCAGTCCCAGATGTTTTATCATGTCGTTTTTGCCTTTATTGAGATGATGAAGAAAACAAGTCAGGTGTGTTTACAAACACAAATGCCCCGCAACCGTGACTGTTCCCATGACATAACACCACTCTTTTAACATCAACTTACATGTACCTTGGTCACATGGAACATTCATTGACAGCATTAGTGTCTTCTGTCGGTTTTATATGAATTAATCCCTAATCCCTATAATCTCAGAATAAATACAAGATTTCTATTGTTTTAGCCACTGTGAACTTGACCCTTGACCTTATGGCCCCAAATGCAAAAGGCTTCTTAGGATTGCCAAAAACAATCCACAAACCAAATTTGAAGTTCACATGTAAAGTATTTCTAACGTTATCGCGCTGACAAGATTTCTATTGTTTTAGCCACTGTGAACTTGACCTTTGGCCTTTTGGCCCCAAATGCGAAAGGCTTCTTAGGATTACCAAGAACAATCCACAAACCAAATTTGAAGTTCATATGTTAAGTATTTCTCAAGTTATCGCGCTGACAAGATTTCTATTGTTTTAGCGACTGTGAACTTGACCTTTGGCCTTTTGGCCCCCAATGCAAAAGGCTTCTTAGGATTACCAAGAACAATCCACAAACCAAATTTGAAGTTCATATGTTAAGAATTTCTCAAGTTATCGCGCTGACAAGATTTGTCCGGACGGACACACACACACACACACACCCACAAAGTCGTTTTTTGCTATGCTTCCGAGGATTGGCTTTGTGTTTTCCTTTGTCCCTGTAATATAACACTCTCCCATAGACTAAGCACACAAACCTGCGTTCGAGGACAATAGGCACCTTCCTTCGAGGATCAATGGCCTCTTTGTGCTCCTTTTGTTGTCTGTCCTCAGGCGTAATGCCATGCAGGAACACACACACACACACACCCACCCACAGAAGGACAAGGCGGAAACAGTATGCCCCTTCGGCTTCGCCGCGGGGCAAAAAAAGGGGCGTCAGGTTACAACATTCTTTCTGTATTTCTTAACAAAATTGGAAATATTTCTCAGTCCCAGATTCATGTCTTATCATAATTTCTGCAATGAATGACCTTCATTCAGATGATATATGAAGAAAAAAGTGGCGTTAGGTTGCAACATTTTTTCCCTTTTTAGCTATCTAGCCCTACATCATACTCTAATTTATAAATTCCTTTTAAAGTTGGTGATTTCAAACAAAGTTAATGTAATTGTAATTGTTATAATTCAAAGAAGTTTCGGGCCTAAATCTGAATCACACCCAGCCAACCTACACAGTCACTCCATTCCCATTCCTACATAGGCAGATTTCTTGCATTTTCAAAAATTTCATCGCCCATTTTGCATTGCAAATTGCTCAATGCTCGAACATGTCGAAAAAGCAATGCTAGCTAAACGGCCGCACGCATGCATGCCTGCGCCGCCCGTCTCGGCCCCCTGCGGATACCCGCTTTGCGGTCAGGTCGTATTCACGCGTACGTACGTCAATGACGTCAAGCCACGACCACGCACCGATGGCCGTGCGACGTGCGGATCAACCTCCCAGCGAGCATGCGATTTCATGCATATTCGCGCGGCGCACTCAATACACTCATCCCACACACACAAAACACGTTGACAATGATTCTCTAATACACAACCAACACCTTCTGCCCGTGGCGCGGTTTCACACTAAACTGGTAACAAAAATATGACTTACCAAACTCAAAATACCACCCAGAGATCCGCAAGGGTTGGAGCCTCAGGTTGACATCAAAAAAAGGGAATAAAATAACGAAGGAAAGTACTAATTCGAACGATTTTGAAGTGGAAATGACTCGAGTTACCGACGCTACGTATGTGCGCATGCGCAATAGTTTCATTCATGAAATTTGCCTTTTATGGTCATCGGGATGACGTCATATAATAAGGTAGCTGTGCCGCCCTCTCAAGGCCGCTCCGTGTCAATTCATGTAAGGCATTTTTCGCTGTGCAGTAGCCACAGCAGTTTGACAATACCAGCCACTTGCAGACAATACTTTATCAGGTCAATACAACAATCAACAGCCACACAGTAGCCACAGCTGTCTGGCAATGCCTGCCACTTGCAGACAATACTTTATCAAGTCAATACAACAATCAACAGCCACACAGTAGCCACAGCTATTTGACAATGCCAGCCACTTGCAGACAATACTTTATCAGGTCAATACAACAATCAACAGCCACACAGTAGCCACAGCTGTTTGACAATGCCTGCCACTTGCAGACAATACTTTATCAAGTCAATACAACAATCAACAGCCACACAGTAGCCACAGCTGTTTGACAATGCCAGCCACTTGCAGACAATACTTTATCAGGTCAATACAACAATCAACAGCCACACAGTAGCCACAGCTATTTGACAATGCCAGCCACTTGCAGACAATACTTTATCAGGTCAATACAACAATCAACAGCCACACAGTTGCCACAGCTGTTTGACAATGCCAGCCACTTGCAGACAATACTTTATCTGGTCAATACACAGAGGTGGCAGCAAGTCATTTTTTGCAAGTCCAAGTCAAGTCACAAGTCATTGTTTGCAAGTCCAAGTCAAGTCACAAGTCATTGTTTGCAAGTCCAAGTCAAGTCACAAGTCATTAGGTCCAGTAACAAGTCAAGTCACAAGTCATTAGGTCCAGTCACAAGTCAAGTCACAAGTCATTTGGTCTAAACACAAGTCAAGTCACAAGTATCTTTGTCCAAGAACACGTCAAGTTGCTCATTATTTTGTCCAGCTGTAATAAGAACCTGGCGTCAACTTACGAGTTATTTTGAACATGCCTCCTTAATTCCCCATTTTCAATGTGTTGCCATTACTATTCTTGTAGTTTATCACATATCTGTCGGATATTAGCCCTTTGTATACTTTAATAAATTACTTTACATTGTAGAAATAAATGTTGGGATGACATGAAAAAAAGACTTCACTCACTCGATTACATGAAGTATACTCACACTTTATTGTTCAATTTTCATGTATACTAAACGCCTACCAATGGGTTAGGCTATCCGGTATTTTACATGCAATTGACAAAGGCAATGGGTTGGTAACAAGTCATTTTTTGCAATCCCAAGTCAAGTCACAAGTCATTGTTCGCAAGTCCCAAGTCAAGTCACAAGTCAAAGCTGGTATGTACAAGTCAAGTCACAAGTCACAAAAATAGCGACTCGAGTCCGACTCGAGTCCAAGTCACATGACTTGAGTCAGCAACTCTGTCAATACAACAATCAACAGCCACACAGTAGCCACAGCTGTTTGACAATACCAGCCACTTACCAATTGCTGACAATACCAATAGGCACCCACCCAAAAAGTTCTGCTTCCAATTACTTGGCATTTGAAAACAGGGTAATAGGTAGGGTTTTTTTTTTTTTAGAGGGGGGGGGGGGAAATTTTTTGACAGGGATCATGTTTCATTCAATACCAAACACCAACTGTCATAGCTGCCAACATTTCAAATTCCCAATTAGTAATCAACCCGCGCGGTCATTTTCAACTTCTCGTTTTATCAAAAGCTTTACCAACATCGAGTACAGGTACATGGTTTACATGAACACATACATGTGCATACCCTTCTTGTTGTGAATAATAATGTACTGTAGGCCAAAAGATAATTAATTAATGTTAATTAATTTATCAACCGATAATTAATTTTGTTTTAATGTCTGTATTTGTTTGTTGAAGTCAAATAAATAATAACATCAATAACATGTGCGCATATTTTTTTGGAGATGCATGCTATCGATGTTGAGTTTCGACTTTGTATCATGTTTTTACACACAATGATCTATGGCCACCGTATGCAATAGAAATATCCCGCCAACATACCTTGCAAACGCATGCTGATTTATCTTTTCTATCCGTTGTGACAAACTCAAACTCTATTACCAATTATTCCATCCATACTCTTTTTAAATTCCATGATTAAAATCTCGCACTGATGGGTCTCATCCCGGCAATAAGCAACTAAATGTGCTCACGATCGTCACTGAAAAGTACTCACATACAGTACACACAACCACACATCCACGAGATGCACACAAATGACACACCATTG